TCAGCCTACATGGTTGCCCATGCCCCAGTGGATGACTTCACAACACCCTCAAAATGAGTGGCATTCACTGGAATCAATAAGGTATATGAAAATGCATGACATGAAGTTGGAAGAGAGATATATATGGGGCATCCAAAGGAGGAACTGGGGAGAGACAATGAGAAGTGGATACCATAAAAATGTATGAAATTTTCAAAGAAAAATTAAATTTCTTCTCTAATTCTTTTCTTCAAATGACTGGTAAAGTTAAGCATGCCCAAGAAATCACTGTGTATATGAAATGTTTCTTGTAACAAATGTGGAAGGATTTGAGCTTCTTTTTAGATGTAAATGATATAGGATAGTGGTGGAACATATTATATTAACATTAATTCTGCAGATGCTGAAGGTCAGAGTTTGGATGACTCTAGAGGGTTCTGTGCTTCCATGGGTAGATAATCAGCTCAATCTGATCATTGTCATTTTCATTCATTTGTCCATTCATTCATCTGGTGCTTCCGAAAGGTATACTGTATGTCTGAGACACTAAGAATGTGACTACAAGCAAAACAAACTTCTTGCTCTTAGAGGACATTCTTACTGAGACATTCAAAATCAACAGAAAAAATATATCAGACTATATTAGATCATAGTAAGAGTTATCTACAAAATCAAGGCATGATATAAAAGGATGGTTCAGAATTCCTCTTTGTGGAGGTGGCATTTGAACAGAGACATGGATTAAGTGACAGGAGTAACACAGGGAATAAATTTCTATCTTCTTGTTTATGACCTTGAGAAAAAGGACAACCTCTTGATCTAGTGATTTTTTTCTATGTGTATGTGTGTGTGTGTGTGTGTGTGTGTGTGTGTGTGTTTATTTTATTTTTTTGTCTAGTAAGTGTTGAAATTTCCATGTCTTGAACTAGAAGTCAGGGTTCTTAGAGATTGTTTGAAAATATAAAATGCAAAACCAGGCCTTTTAGTACCCACCTATAATTTCAGTTACTCCTACTGAGGCAGGAGGATCACAAGTTCAAGGCCTTATTGGGCTACAAAGTGAGGTAAAGACTAACCTGGGCAACTTTGCTAGACACTGTTTCAAAGTAAAGAGTAAAAAATGGGGCTGGAGATAGACTTCAGTGGTTGAGCACTTTTCTGGCCTGCACCAGAAAACAAACAAACAAAGCAAAGGACAAACTTGAAGGATTGTGGAAGACCCAGACAAGAAATTAGGGTTAATTTCACACCTACTATAAGGTTGGATCTGGACCAAACCCTCAAGTAAATTGTATGATCTTTCTCTAAGATTTGTCAGGCATTGGGAGTTAAGTCAAAGCTGGACTATATATTAGAATGTGACTGATCAAACTCTGCTGAAGTGACCTGGGAGAAGTGTCTTAATATAAACTATTTCCAGAAGCTCATGAATTCTGTATTACAGCAAGCCATCCCATGATTCTGCAATTGTCTTGCTGATGATACAGTCCCTGCTGTATTTATCATCACAACTCAAGCAGAAAGACCTGATAAATCTTGGCTGCACAAGGACTTGTCTACTTTCATCTTGTTGACTTCTTAACCCTTCACCCACTGGCCAGTCTATTTTGAAGAACGGCACAGAAACATTTAACATCAGCTTTCCCTTCATTTGACCTTGTGGGTATTTATTCTTATTCTTGGCTGCTGTGGTAGACATTATTGGTTGTCTATTTCTTGTGTGTGTGTGTGTGTGTGTGTGTGTGTGTGTGTGTGTGTGTTTACACATGTGGTGATCAGAGGCCGCCTTCTGGTATGGTTCCTCATCGTTCTTCCATCTTGTTTTTTTGAGCAGTATTTTTCATTAACATTGGGCTCCCTGATTTTCCTGGGCTAGGTGGCCTGCCTCTATTTCCCCAGTTTGGGGATTACATGCATTTATTCATAATAGTCAGAACCTAGAAACAACCTAGATGCCCCTCAACTGAAGAATGGATAAAGAAAATGTGGCACATATACACAATGGAGTACTACTCAGCAGAGAAAAACAATGACATCATGAGGTTTGCAGAAAAATAAATGGAACAAGAAAATATCATCTTGAGTAAGATAACCCAGACTCAGAAAGACAAACTTGGAGTGTACTTACTCATAAGTGGATACTAGATGTACAGCAAAGGACAAGCAGACTACAACCCACAGCTCTAGAAAAGCTAGGTAACAAGGAGGACCATAAGAGGGATGCATAGATCACCCTGGAAAGGGGAAATAGATGAGATCTCCTCATGGAGTGAAGGGGAGCAATAGAGGGTAGGAGATGGGGGAAGAGAACATAAGGGAATGGAATGGTTGAGCTGGAATAGGGACAGAGTGGGAGATCAATGAAAGAGACATCTTGATAGAGAAAGACATCATGGGGATAGTGAGAAACCTGGTGCTTGTGTGTGTGAGTTAGAGGAAACCACAAGGATGACCACAGCTTAGACTACTAGTTATAGTGGAGAGGGTTTCTGAGATGGCCTACCCCAGTAATTAGATTGGTGAATACCCTAACTGTCATCATAGAGCCTTCATCCAGTAACCGATGGAAGCAGATGCAGAGATCCAAAGCCAAGCACCAGGCCAAGCTCCAGGAGTCCAGTCAAAGAGAGGGAAGAGGGAGTCTATGAGCAAGGAGCATCACGATTATGATGGGGAAATCTACAGAGATAACCAAACCAAGGTAGTGGGAACCAATGAACTTTAGACCAACAGCTGTGGAGCCTGCATGGGACTGGACTAGGCCCTCTGCATGATCAGGACAGTTGTGTAGCTTGGTCTGTTTAAGTGGCTCCTGGCAGTGGGATCAGGATTTATCCTTGGTGCATGAGCTGACTTTTTGGAATCCATTACAGATGGTGGGACACCTTCCACAGTCTTGATGCAGTAGGGAGGGGCTGGAACTGCCTCAACATTCAGTTATAGTGCCATGCTCTGCTAACTCCCCATGGGAGGCCTTACCTTATTGTAGGAGGTGACAGTGTGTGTGTGTGTGTGTGTGTGTGTGTGTGTGTGTGTGTGTTAGAGGGGCATGCCTGGGTGGGGAACAGGAGGAGGGAAGGGGGAGATCTGCAGTTGCTATGTAAAATGAATAAAAAATTTCTTAAAAAAGAAAAAAAAAAAGAAGTGGTTACACATGGTGTCTTGAGGCCTTAGAGCACTGACAGTCTGTCTACATTCAATTGGCCAGAGTAAGCTGCAAGTCCACCCTACATAAAAAGACTGTAGAAATGGTTCTTGTATGAAAAGAAATATGAAGACTTGCTGCAAAATGTGTAAATAAGGGAGAAATTATGTGTTGGAGACTATAATCAATTACCCACACTATATGACCTAATCTTAGATAATGCAATGCTTTTCTTAAACAGGGTAGCATGTAGTCACAAAGGGCCAAGCCTAATGGTTAGGATAATAGAAAGAGAATAATAACACAGGAGGTTAGGAGGAACTCAAGTTCCTGATGACACAATTGATTTGCCGAATTAACTATGTAATCATCTTCTGGTGGATATCTTGTTATGAGAGATAATGCATTTTTCCCCTACCCCCATTGTTTAAATCACTTAAAGACACTGGTTGTTCTGTGACTTGAGACATAAAGCATTCTTGTCTGCTCTAGGGACTCACGGGTTGAGGCATCCTGTTTCTGTTCTACTTTATGAGCACATTGCATCCTTTGACAGATGCTGGGCTTCTTTGCTTTCCCAGAAAGGTGATAGGTTCATAAATCAAGAGCTCATACTCGAGAGTTTGAGTTAGAAGACAGCAATATGAAGAAGCAAGGGTTAGCTACCTAGGCAGTAACAGCTTTGATGGTAACAATCTGTGTGATTGCCTGATGCCACCTTGGAGAAAGCAAGAAGGCTGGAAATCCAGAATCACTGATGGAAGGCTTGGAGCAAGAGATCACTTTGAGCCAGAAAAGTTTTTTTATAAGAATGTAAGAGGCTTTTTTTTTTTTTTTTTTTTTTTTTTTTTTTTTTTTTTTTTTTTTTTTTTTTTTTTTTTTTTTTTTTTTTTTTTTTTTGCTAAGCCACCATTCTCCACAATGCTTGGCAGCAGTTACATACTGATGGTGGACAACAAATATCATCTTATATTCATCAACTCTTTTACAAGGACTGGCATGAAGACTCCCCCATCTCACGGCCTTTCTCACCCCTTCAGCCTGTTGATAAGCTAAATTTCACAGTTCAGCCTAGTCTCTACTTTTGGACAGAGACTCTTTCTAGTATGCATTTAGAGAAGACCCAGTTCTGTTTCTAGCTGTCTCATGCCATAATGCTTCTCCCCCTTGTTTTAGCAGCTAGAGACAGAAAGAAGATGGCAGTGTGCACAGATTATCTCTGGGAGTAAGGGCCTGGTCTCCCACTATGAGTCTGTAAAAAGGAATGTAGCCTAGCACCTTGATGTTAGCCCAATGAGACCCAAGTAAGATTGTTAAGCCAAGGAACTATAAAACTTGTATTGCCTAAGTCTTTTAAGTTGGTGATCATTTGTTACACCAGATTTAGAAAATAAATAGAATTCTTCTTACCCCATGATTCAGGAGGATACTTTACTTGCCTTAAAACTACACACCTGATATGAATACACACTAATCTGAGGATATCCTCCAGTGGCAGTGTTCAGGGTTAGTCTTTGCACTTGTTCTACATATCAGGTAGCCCAGTGACTTGTTAGTGCTGTGCCCAATATGTGTGTGATAAACACAATGTTGGATCATGATCAGACTAGAATTATGGATTGAGTTCTTTAAGATATGAGGTTAATTGAGGCAATTGCAAATTTTCATGTATGGGTCAAATAAACCAAGCTGGGTGATTTCGAATTTGTGATATTAGCAGGGGGATGAAATGGTTTTTGCTATGGATGGCCATTTGTGCTGTACACTCAAGGAGTAGAGAGTTCAGGTGGGCAGCCTGGACCTATGCCTTAGAATTTAATTCTTAACTCATAGAAGTTTCTGTATTTTTCCCTATTTATTTTTCCTTTTTAGTCTAACACTGAGACACTGGGAAATTACAATTCTTCAGAAACTCCTATCTGTCTTAACTCCTTCATCGATACACTGGTCCATTCAGCTGAAGTCCCTGAATCTGCCAGGCACAGACCTCCACCTTGCTAGCCTGAAAGGTAACCTTTTGTCATCCTTCAAGCCTCATTCAAATGCAATTGCCTCCTACTGGCTTTTACCACTACCCTGCTCCTGGCAGAATAGTTGCCCTCTGTGATTGATTGATTGATCCATTTGTTTTCCACTATGTATATTATAGTTATTTATCTTCAAGCCTACACTCTAAATGCCTGGATTTATTTATCTCTGCAGCCCCAAGGCCAGACAAACAGTAAACATTTCACAAACCTTTGTTGACTAGAATAGAATTCAAGTTGCCACCGGTTATTTAGAATAATTTAATCTTTAACACCAGATCAGACTTCAGCAATCACCTTGCTTGCTTCTGCATTTTACCCCTGGAGAAACTGAGACCCAGAGGGTGGCAAGGGACTTCTCCACAGCCCTTGTAAAAAAATTTAGAGCAGAGACTAGGACTCTGTGTCCTAATAGATGGTCCAAAGTTCTTACTTATGCACTATGGCCTTTGATTTAGTTTACTTTGTGTGTACATTAGGATCACTTGGAAACAGATTTAAGATGTTGTTATTTTTGACATGTGATCTCCAAAATTACTTTGAGCACCGAGGTACAATTGGCAGATGGAGAAAGAGACAAGAGAGGAATATATAGGAGATTATTTTTATGGATCTGGTTTTGTGATGATTAATTTTCTCTTTTAAACAACTTATTATTAATGTGTGTGGGGAAGGTTCATGATATTTGTGTGTGGGGGTGGGAGACACGTGACACAGTGTGCCTATGGAGGTCAAATGACAACTTTGTAGAGTTGTTTCTCTTCTTCCACCTATCTGTGGGTTCCAGAGACAGAACTCAGGCCACTTGTGCAGTAGATACCATCACCTACTGAGCCATCTTCTAGGCCCAGAGATGCTTGACCTAAAGCACACTCTTTTGTGTTACTTTTGTCAGGGCATTTTATCCAAGCAACAGGAAACACTACTAATAAGACAAGAAGTGACATATTCAACTTCCAGTCATCTGCTAAAGCAGCCTGGGAGATGTGGTTCAGATGGGAGCCCAGGGAGAAAGAGGAATTAGTTTAACAAACAGCCATTCTCTGCTGCTGCATCCTAATTCCTTATGTGGGTTTCCATTTCTATCACTACACTGTATAGTCCAATCTGCCCTCAAATTCAAGATCCTCCTGCTTCAACATCCTGAGTGATTTCAGGAATGCACCACCATGTCCATTTTAATTATTTATGTAACCACTGAGAAGCCTCCAATAGGCCCACGTGAACTTAAAGTTTCACCTCACTGTTGAAACTATTATTACTGTTTTTATTATTATATTAATGATAGATGGAGAAGTGGCAGACAGGAACTAACATGAGTTACTTTGCAATGTTAACCCCAAACACATCGTGCCAGGCAATTTGTCCTTTATCTTTAAACCTATGAGTGTTTCAAGGGAAATTTAATCCTTGTGTTTCTGATTCATTTGCACTTAACTCATCAAAATGTTGCTTTATAAGGTGTGTTTGATGTACAAGAAGGCTCATAAGCCTTTTCATTAGCTGTTCAAATGCCTTTTTTCTTTGAAGCCAAAGTTTGTGCTCTTCCAGCGCTAAACAGGGCTCAAATTTGCAAAGTCTTCAGTTACCTTCTACCTCAGAGGGCACAAATTAAGGTGGTTTGTAGAGCTCAGCAGTGGAAAAATACTTCTTCTTCCCTGGTGCATGGAGGCATCCTTGGGGAGTGAAGACACAACCATCACTCTGTCCTCATGCTTTTGCTCATTGCCTTCAAAGCCAGAGTTTTTTCTTACCGCTTGCTTACTGCTTCTTTTGTACTTGGAGGGGTCCACAACACTATGAAATTCCTTGACTTTTCTAGAAAACAGCAAGCAGTCATCCCTTAGTGTCTGTCGAGTGCTAGTCCCTAGAACCTCATTGGTACCCAAATTAATTAATGCTCAAGTCCATTGTATAAAATAGTGAAGTGTTTGGATTGTAATCTTAGTGAATTCCCCTCAGATGATTTGAATCATTAATAGATGATTTATAAAACCTAACACAATGTGAATGCTGTGAAAATAGTTGTTTAGGGTATAATGGCAAGGGACAAAACAGTTTATATAAGTTGAGTATAGGTGGAATTCTTTTCCAAATATTTTTGATTCATCCTTGGTTAAAACTGTGCGTGTGGCCCCATGAATATTGAAGGCTGACTACCTTTTCTCTCAGATTCCCCTGTATTTTACCTCAGCCATAGTAATTAATGTTAATTGAATACTATCTACCAGACACCTTCCTAACTTCCTCCCAACTGATAATTTATTTAGTCCTCCTAAGGGAGGTGTTATTTCAACTTCTTTACAGATGAGGAAACCAAAGAGGAGAGTGGGTAACTAACTTTCCCAGGTCCCACACCAAAGAGAGATGATATATAGTCCTATAGAGACTGATGCTGATTCAACATAGCACTCATCAGGTGCTTTGCAGGGAGGTGCAGCCCCTCTCAGTGTCTGCTCTGGTTATCTGGAAGCCTGGCCCAGAGTGTTCTTCCTGAAATCACAGGAGAGGCCTGAGGACACAGCATTGAGGAGTTCAGAACTAAAACTCTTCCTCTGCCTCTTGGTTTGCTGAGAATTGGGGCTAGATGTTTAAGTCTTACATTTCTCTGTTTCTTCACTGACAAATGGGGACAATAATAGGTTTCTTGCTGGCCTGGGTTATCTTTTTAATAGTATATATAAAGAGATTAGTAAAAGGAGAACCAGATAGTAGGCATGTCCCAGTCTAATAGGGGGGGGATAGGATTCTGAGATAGAGTCCTGCACAATAAGACACAGTGGGGATGACTAAAAATTTCATGCTTGATATAAACATCAGCAGCCCAGGTGGGTGCTGGGAGAATAGAGAGAGGAGCTTGCAGGTGTCCTTGACACAGATGCTGTTCGAAAGGAAGCATGGGAACTTTAGTCTGCTAAACACAATCTAGAATCATCTGGAAAGAAAGTTTCAGAGAGGGATTGTCTAGATTTGAGCAGTCTTTGAACATGTCCATGAGGGTTTTTTTTTTTTTTTTTCTTAATTGGGTTAAATGAAATGGGAAACTCCCACCCTGAATATGGGTAGCACCATTTCCTAGGCTGGACTCTGAGCTGTGTAGGAATGAACAAAGAGAGTTGAATAAGAGGCCTTCATGCACCAATTTCTCTCTGCTCTTGACTGGGGATGTGATGTGACTAGCTGCTTTGGGTTCCTGCCTTGATTTCCCTGCAGTAATAGAGTATAACCTGGAATTATGAGAAATCAGCCCTTTCTCCCCTAGCTTGCTTTTTGTCAGGGTATTTTCTCAAACTAACAGAGATGAAAGTGGGACAGAGTCAAAGCCTGTGATCCACTTCTGTCCATCTAGAGCGATTGTTAGAGTGTGGTGCTTACAGAGGGCAGAGCCTGGCTTGTGCATTGCACATCAATGGTGACAAGAACTGCAGTCATTTATAGGATTCTGCTTGGTGATTTTTACTTGTATTGCACTTGTATGATTATAAAACATATTCAGTGTTGCCAATTTAGAAAATTTAGAGAAGATTGAGGCAGAAAAAAGATTATACATAATTGTATAACCACTTCATAATAGCTTGGTGTATTTCCTTTCTCTCACTGTCTGTATATATTTCAGATGTGAATTAGGATTTCTTGGCCCCTTGAGATCTAGATACATTTGGCTCAGATTTTCATTTTATACTCGGTTGAAGTCCAGGCTTCTCAACACTTCTGCAGCTGTCTTGGCAGTTCATATTTTAGTGTCACCACTGACTTGATTTCTTGTCCCTCATACTTTCTTGTTCTTGCAGCTGCTTTTGGCTCGAGATCTCCGAAGAAGTGTCAGGAATGGACAGGTTGGTTCTTTCTTCTGACTTATCCCTGCTGAGACAAATGTCATCTATCTGTCTATCTATCTATCTATCTATCTATCTATCTATCTATCTATCTATCTATCTATCTATCTATGGATGTAAGTATGTCTATATGTATCTATCTGTCTTTAGCATATCTGTCTGTGGAGTGGGGGGAGTGATTGATTGCAAAGAGTCTTATTGTAGTATATTCAACAAACAACCAGCAAGCCCACCCTACTCCTACTTGTTCCAATTAAATCTTTTTGCTCACTTGGCCACATTAGCATCATTGATTTATGGTGGTGATGATGGTGAGAAAACTTGGAAGGTGAACTGAGCACGTGCCAGCACAGGCTCTGTTCTGAGTGCTGTCAGCATCCACAGAGGAAGAACTGCTGTTGTTGTCTGTTTACAATGAAAAAATTGAATAACAAGGTGCCTAAGTAATTAATTCAAGGTCACTAAGTAGTGGAAGCTAGATTCAAACCTGGGCCTATTGATGACATTTATTAGGCAAGCACACATTATTTGACAAGTGATTTTAAATGATTTACTGCAACCTATTCAACGGCAGGAGGTCTTCATCATTATCTCTGTTTTGCGGACAAGTAGATTGATGGATGTTCCTTGATTTAAGTAATCTGTTCAAGGTCACTTTTGAGTTAGGTCTGTTTGGTCTTCAAATGCAGCTTCCCTCTGCACTTTCCAGCTGTATGGTATCATCCGATTCAAACGGCGAGCATTAAGCACATATTCTCTCCCTGTACCCACATTTAAATATCACACACATTGGGAAGTGCCACTTCACTGATTATGTATGGCAAATGAAGTTTACCCATAAGGGACCATGACACTAATGCCATTATATTAGAAGTACAAAGATTCCAGTAAGTTTCTGAGCACAAGTGTTACAGTAGCCTTCTCTGGGTTTCCAGTGAGAGTACAGCTTTCTGTTGATTTTCTTAGCCTCACACAGTTATTACAGTGTGATTTTCCCTAGTGCTCCAGCCTCCTTCAGCTCTCATTTAGATTTCCCTCCTAGATGCAGCCATTTAAATGCATATCGGCAGCAATTGAACCCACCAGATTTCTTTTCCGATTAGTTGGAAAGATGGTCCTGTTAGTTATCTGTGAGCTGAGTAAAAAATCTGTCAGGCTGGGAAAATTGCTTTGTGACATGACCTGGTTTGGGCAGTGTAGACAGAGAGGTGATTTACACGAGTCCACATGTTGGGCAGGAGGGAACTTGGAGAGTTATGGGGAGGGGCTTGTGTGGAGAAGTATGAGATTAGAGATTAGGGAATCAAATAGGGTTATGAATGCACGTGGTGGGGGAACACTGCACAGAGGTTGGGTGAACAGTGTATTTACATCACAAGACTAGTATGTGTGGTTGGGTATATATGGAGTGGATTTTCCATAAGAATGAAGATGTGTATATGTGGTTGTGATTGGCCTTCAATTATTTGGGTGGCTAGATTTGTATATAATAAGACTCAGAGGCAGGCCATAGTTTAACATGGAGGCTCTAATGTTAGCTTCCATGGCTTGACAAAGTTCTAAGATAAACCATGTAAGGGAGGAAGGATTTATTTTGGCTCCCAGTTTCAGAGGTCTTAGTTTATGGCTTTATTGATTTGAGGTAAAGCCACCATGGAGAAGAGTATGGCAGAAGAAGGCTGTTCACCTCCCTACAGCCAGGAAGCAAAGAGCAGACAGGAAGGAACCAGGGCAAGATATAGCCCCCAAGGGCACAACCCCAGTGATCTAGTTCTTCCAGTTAGGGCTCACTAATTAAAGTTTCTCTCAGTTTTGCAAATAACACAGCCAGCTTGGACCAAGTCCTCAATCCATGAGCTGATGAAGCACTCTTCATGTTCAATCTGTACCACTTCTACTCCCCAACATTTATGTTTAGGGAGTCTCACCCAGTTGAGGGTGGATGAGGCTGGGGCATGCTTCCTAACATGGAAAGCAACCAATGAAGGATTTGAGGCAGAGAAGAACAAAGTTGACCTGCTTTCATCTGGGCATGTTGTTTCTTTTTCCCACTTCACAAGTCATATCTAGTCTTTCTACATTCAATAGACAGAAAAAAATAGAGAGGCCAGGACTTACACTAATTGCATTCACATTCCTAGGAGGAAACACCAGGGCTGGGAATATATACTTCCTGTCAGCATGTTCATATTATGTATTGTGTCAGTGTTGAATGCCTATTGTTATCCCAGGACCTACTCAGTAACTGAATTCTTACAGGTGTTCATTGTGAGTGGTAGAAAAGAATAGAATGGTGTTTTTAGAGTGAGAATGCAGAAATTAGCTAGACAAGTAATAAGTGATATGAAATGTGGTTCTGGGTCATAGATGTGTGATCCAACCTCCTAAAGTATAAATATTTGGAGAGTTCAAGGAGAATCAAAAAGGCTTTGCCTACCGGCATAGGGCTGTGCATAGGCAGAAGATTATATGCTGATCAGAGGTAAGTGTGTGTGTGTGTGTGTGTGTGTGTGTGTTTGTGTTTGTGTGTGTGTGCGTGTGCACGTGTGTGTGCTTGTATGTGAGAGACTGAGACAAATAAAAAGGAAGCAGATTGTTCAAGAGATAGATGAAGAGAAACAAAGAGGAGACAGACTTAGACATATTAACAGACACAAACAAATATTACATATAAGTCAAAGATGGAAGGGGAGCTCTTTCCTTTTTGTCACTGTCCCACTTCTGCTTTCTGGTCCCCTCCCACTCTTTTCCTTTCCTGAAGGCTTCCTCTCTATCCACTAACAATAACACTACATGCTTGCACGGTGCTCACATTCACACACCTGCGCTGGGCTCTAAAGGAATGCACAGCTGACATTCGGGGAGTTCCTTGCAGGTACCAGGCTCCCTACACAGCATCCTGCACCAGATCATTCCTTCTGAGGGGCTAGGTGTATGAATCTCTAGTGTAAGAAAGGGAGTGTGAGGCTCAGGGAGATAAAATGTCCCAGTCACTGACCTGATCCTGTCTGTGGCTCTTAAAGTTCACACCTACTGCCTATCTCTTTTCTTCTCCTTTCATATCCCAGAAGCCCCTTCCCCTTTTCCAGTCTAGACCCTGAGGCCTCAATAATTCTCTGTCAGTCTCTTTCTGAGCCAGCAACAGATACATAAGACTGGGCTTCAGAGTCTGGATGCCACCCTGTGTCCTTCCTCAGACAACTAGTTTTCCAGTGACCTGTCATTCTTGTAACAGTGTGGCCAAAGCTCAGGATTTAAGTCCAGGGGGTCTTGGGATCAATCTGGGCAGTGTGACCTCATGATATAATTTTGGCAGAACACCTCACTTTTGTAATCTTTACTTGTTTCATTTGTAGAGTAGTGATCATCAAACTGCATCCTTAGGCAGCTGAGAGATTAAACAAATCTTGTCCATGGACTGCTTGGCAAAGGGAAGATGTCTCTGGGATGCTTGTCCTTGTCCTGTGTGCCATTTCTCATCTGAGTTGTTCTCTCATCTCTGCCATTTACAACCTGTCTTGAATTTGGTCCATCAGGCAGGTCCAAGTCTTGGCCATTTGAAAGGAAAGCTGAGAACATCATTTTCCCACTGACTTCTTTCCTATCTCTAGGCAGAGGCACAGCTTCTGTTGATTTATTTCTTTAATTAAAAATCAATGGCTGATTCTCTGTCTCTGGATGTCTGAAGTGAGCTTCAAGCCTTCATCTTTAAGGCTGCTCCTCTTCCTCTACTTGTGCCTTATAAGAGCCACGTATAAAGTTCAGTATGATGATGCAGACTTATAATCTCCGCACTTGGGAGACTGAAGCAGGGGGTTACCAGTTTCAGGCAAACCTATCCTACAGAAAACAAAAAGCCAAACCGAACAAACCAGAACTTTATAAAGCAAGGTGACATGATTGCTTGTGTGTTTCAGAGAACGAGGCTGGTGGTTACATGGCAGCAGAAGAGTTAGAGCTAGAACTGAAGTTCTGGTCTCTTGGAGTGTCAACCCAGGCACTTTTTACATTTAGAGCTTATGTGACACTACCAGGGGTGAGAAGGCACAGGTGAGGGAATTAGGCACCTTTATCCATCAGTTCTAGAAAACCTAACTATCCATGGCTTAAGGTAGATACTCCACGATGAGGTTTGGAGGTTGAAGCAAGGTGCCTCCTCACTGCCTCCTGGCCCCCAACAGCATAATTAGCCCATTAGCAAGTCGCCCAAGGTATAGAATCACCTTTCCTGACAGGCTGTCAGAGGCTGGCCCAAAGGTGGGCAAGGAGGCAGAGGTGGGAAGGGAGCTGACTGTAGGCTTGCTCAATCCATAATTTAATACCAATGTGATGTCTTCGATCAATTTCATCTCTCCTGCACATTTTATGAAGCTTTTTTTTTTCATACAGCTCTTTAAAATAACTGAGGCAAAAAGAGGCAGCTGGAGGTCAGATCCCAGGCACTGAGGTAAGCAGAAATGCCCCTGCCACCTGCTGGCTATACAGAAATGGGGCTTTGTGGTCAAGGGCTTACCATGCTACCACCCAAACTCTATGGTGGTGAAAGTTGAGACAAGGTTAAAATGCCTGTCATTCCTGACATATGGTTAAGAAAACACATAGCTATGGGAGAACAGGGTATAACTTTAGTGCATGGAAGCTGATGCTTTCTTCTGAAGCCCATTATGAGCCAGGTGACAATACCAAGTCACTGGTCTCCATTAGGGCCTCAGTCTTATGTAGAACAGTGGCTATGAGATATCTGTGAGGCTGGGGCAATGATTAAATTATCTGGTACATCAGAGCCTTTAGCATGCTTCCTGGAACACGATAAACAAGGAGGAATAAGGAAGACAATCAAAGACGCCAGCCAGTTGAGGGTTTCCATTTTTGCCACAAGTCCCCATTGCATGCTGCTTGTCCAGAGGTGAGGCTTGGAGTCCCAAGAATTCAAGGCACTTCCTTAAGGTGAAACAGCCTGGAATCTACAGTAAGAGATCCTACCCTGGTGGTCAGGCCAGAGAGAGAACTGGAGATACTTGGCTGGTAGAGCTTTGTCATGAAGATGGGATTGTCCTTAAGGTGAAGAGAACCTGGCTTTCCTCCTGGATAATGGGCTGTGTGTTGTGAGCATCCAGATTCCATGAAGGGGTGAATAGAGGGCTCATCCTCGAAAGGATTTCTCCCAGGGTTCTTGGGAGCCTTTTGACAGGGTCAGAACTGCTCAGGAGATCAACTGACAGGTATATACCACATGCTAAGAGTCCCAGGCATGAAGAAGTGAGGCTGGGGAGGCCAATACACTTGACCTCTTTCTTTCATTATGTACATGGAAGGCATAAAACTATAGCTGTATGAAGCCTTGTCTCCCACCTGTTCATCTCCCCAGACAGGATTTAACAGCTAAAGTCCTCTGGTGTGCCTTGGGAAGTTCAGTGGCTATCAAGTACCTGAAGACACCATGAGGTTCTCAGGAAGCTTGCCACTCACTTCTGATCCTTCTCTCCAGCATCCCCCATTGACACTGATCACTCTTGACTTAGAGAAGACAGAAGAGTGGCCCCTAAGCTACAAGGCTCAAGGGAAGTCTACCTCCTTATCAGCACTTGAAACATTCCATTTTCAAAGCACTGGGCTTACCCAGGCCTCTCTCTAGTCTTCTTCCACCTGGGGCCTGGGGCCCTATTCTCTTCTTATTTCAATTACAAATGCCAGCTAGTTACACACCACAGGATCTTTCTCATGCAGTTCTCCCTTACTTATGGTAAGGAAACAGAGACTAAATATGTGGGAAGGTCTGCAACATATGTCTGTGAATAGCTAAGACCACAACCTGGGTCTCTGCATTTCTCTGAGAGGCATCAAGGGTGTGGGAGAGGCCATTTGAAGCTGGGTTGTTACCAAGTAACCATTCCAGTTCCCTTTCCCATGTCCTTTTCCCTCTTCCTTTCCTCTTCCTCCTCTCTCAGCTCTGCTGTCATCCTCGTTTCACAGCAACAGTGACATAAGCTGCAGATGGAATGCCACTTATTGAGAACTTGCTGTGTTTGAAATATCACATTACATTTTATCTTTCATTTAAATGCCCTCCCCAGTGATCCCCCAAGACAGACTGTTTTGCCAATGTTCGAGGTGAGAAAGGTCATATGTAGCAAGAAAAGTTAAGGGATGGACCCCCAGGTTGTAGGGCCAGCAAATCCAGGTCAGTCTGGTCAGGCTTTTAGCCACTGTATTCCTTTGGCAGGCATGCTGCTATGAGAAGGCTGCAGTATGAGCCAGCAAGCTACCTACCTACCTCTTCAGGGTACTTCACTATGTAGAAAATGAAGCTCTTCTTTCCATTGTCTCCCCCATGCCTCAGAGTATCACTGGGAGGTTCTAATGACGATTAAGTAGAAAGAACAAGTTTGACAGTTTGATGAGGATGGCAGGCCACAGCATTCCTCTATCTCTGTATGTTAAGTGCATGCCTTAGTGCCTGGCATGTATACAGCAGGTGACTGGTAGAAATTTAGAACAGTCCCCATTCCTGTCTCCAGCAGTCTACTCCCTACAGGGATGAGACTCTCACCTAAAGAAACAGGGGGGCTGGGAGAGCTCTATTGGTATCATGTTTACCATATAGGCAGAGGAGACCTGAGTTTTATTTCCAGAACCCATATAAAAAAAAAAAAAACAGTTATAGCAATGCGTGATTGGAATCCCAGTACTGGGGAGGGAGAGACAAGCAGATCTCTCCTTCTGGCTGGACAATCAGCTTAGCCAAATTGGTGCATGAGAAATCCTGTTTTGAAAAACAAGACAGAGGGTGCCTGCGTGACAAGAGCCAAGGTGGTTCTCTGGCCTGCATACACATGTACATTTATGTATTTCTGTACTCACATGCATCTTCTCCATCACACACATA